CTACTCCAATCTTTTCTCGCTCCATTAATCTTCGTCTCCTTTTTCAGAATCTTCTCGCTCGTCATTTTTCTTCTACAGTAAGGTAATTTCTTTGCCTATTTTAGGTTTTTTTTTTTTTTAATTTTCTGCTGGAAAATTTCTTCAAATGCTTTCGTTTATGGTGGATTTTGTTTAGAGTTTAGAATGTTGAGTGAGTGTATCCGGATACTATGAGTTCTAATTTCCTTCTTCTTTTTTTTTGTGTTTCAATGTTGTGTTTTGATTTTCGGACATGGATTAGTTTTCAGAAGAAAATTTATAGTTGGGGCTCACTGATTTGAAGAGAAAGAATCTCTGAAAATCTATGGAGAAACTCAAAGCTGATGCTTCCGAAATAATCATATACGTCCGTCAATTGAAAGGTTTACTCAACCATATTGGCATGGCTGAAGCCAACATTGAGAAGAGGTCTCGAGAGCTGGATTTAAAGGAGGAGGAGCTGCAAATTTTGAGCTCAGAACTTGAGCAAAAGAGTCAAACTTTTGAAGCAGAAAAGTCTGAAGCTGGTGATTTGAAGAAATTGGTGGAAGAGTGTACTGAAGAACTGAGGTCAAAGAGGAATCTACTGACTGTGAGGCTCGATTCTTTGACAAGGGTTCAGAGAGAGCTTGAGTCAAAGGATAACCAATTGGGACAGGTTATGGCCGAGATTAAGAGGCGTTGCACTGAGGCTCGTAATGTTCAAGAGCGTAAGAGAGAAGTGGAAGATGAAACAGCTTCAAAGAAGAAAGAGTTGTCACTGATTGTTGAGCAGATCGAAGAATCTGACAAACAGCTTGAGAACAAGTCTCGAGAAGTAGAATTGAAGGAGAAGGACATTGAAGAGAACAGAAAAGAACTTGATTTGGTTAAGAGTCAAGTCAAAGCATGGGAAAGGAAACTCATTCAGCTTAGGAAATTGGTTGATGATGATTGTACAAGAGAACTACGTCCAAGGAAAGATCATGTGGATTCATCGAACAACACTCATGTGAAACTGACGAAAACCGTGCTTGTGAAACATAGTGGTGTAGAGGAGGAGAATCATGGCAAGCTTTCTTCTCTTTTCCCTTGTTCATTATGATAAAAAAAAAATCAGTTAATGTGATGCTTATTACTTGAAGTTTCAGGTTTTACTTCGCCCCTCAAAGTTGCTATGTCATCATCTGATGTTAGTTCCATCAATGAGCCCCAAGCATCCTCCACTCTTCTACTA